AGGTATCGCACTCAACAAATTTGAAAACTGTATAAAACTGGCAATCTTGCGTATCTAACACCCCCCCCACAGTATAAGCTCATCTTGTATAATACACTTGCCTGATGACTTAAATACACCAGAATATTCAACAAAGGTGCAGAGAGGCCAGTTGAGGCTTCTACAGTAGGTCCTGTTGCCTTTTAATATTGTTGTGCAACAGTGAAAAGCTTTAAAGGAAGCATTCCCACATTAAATGAGCACTTCTTTCAAAAAACAAAAAATCAGGCCACAAAGGGTTGAAATAAAAGAGTAGATGGAAATCTTGGGGGTGGGAGGTATCAGAAATGACCGTGCTGGTTTATTGTATTTCTATGTGTCTGCCATGGGGGTTGAAGACAGAGATAGGTTTGTAAAACATAATCTAAATGAATTTTCTCTGGACAAATATTGCTTGTTATTCCCATGCAGTACCCCATGTCCCTAGAGTGAAAGAGCCACGCTGTCTTTGAGGGAACATCGCGTTATCTTCACAGGGAAGGTGCTAAGAACGTTAATAATGTCAAACACTGCAGCTAAAATAAAAGTCACCCGGCACTGAAGAGTATGCAGTGTCATGTACCTGAGACACCACAGGGTCACAGTATTCTTACTAGCCAGGTAGTTCTTCATTTAGATTAGCGTTTTTAGGAGAAAAGTGCATTCTGAGCTGACAAACTGGGACAGGCGAAAGGGTGGACAGGAAACCACACGGATCATGGGACATGCCACACTCCTTACCCCAAAGCAGAAGCGACTCATCACGTACAAGGTTGTCCCCATGAGGCTGGAGAGAGCACAGTGTGACCAGGCAGTTTAGAAGAAAGGATCAGTAGCCCCTTACGGCTTCACAGCCCACAAAGATTTAGTGGTTGACGAGTCCTGGGCCTGTTCAGACCTGAGCGAGAGCATTGTTTTTGTTGTCTTCATTAAGAGGTTGGAGCGTGTCAAAATGTTGATTTTTCCCTGATGGCGCAAGATGCTCTTCATCCAGAATGCGGCTGCTGAAATGTTTTACAGGCCAGAGCCGGTGGCATCAACATTGTCCACTAAAAGTTATTCCCTGAAGCGCGTTGGTGTCACAGTCACCTATTTTGCGCCTTTCAAAATTGCAAGAAACGTGTTTAAATTCCATTTATTCTCTAGTCCAGCACAGCATGCAGGCAGTAAAGGCAGTGAAAAGAACTTAATAACCAGGTTACGTGTTTGCGAGTGTGTTTTTTTGGAGTAATGGCTGAGGTTTTTAAGGTCTGAATTTTAAAAAGGTACTGTACAATCAAACAAGCTCTCAGAGCACTTCAGCCTTATTAGAACCTGTTTTTAAAAAAGGACAAACAAATGAGTGAGAGCACCTGTCAGTGCAATATTGTATTCTGAGGCACACCGTCTCCAAATAAAAATTGTCCAAATAAAGCAAGGAAAATTCTCACTCACACAAGGCGATGCAAGAGGGGGACTAGAACTCATTCAACTTATTTCTTAGGAAGAACCCATGCTTTCTGCAGGTCAGATACAGAGCCTGACTGACTCTCTTTCAATCTTAGCATCTCAGAGGTGTGACTTTCTTGGCTTTTTCCATTTCTCTGCCCATGAAGATCAACCTCCCAGCTGTGTACGTACAGTAGAGTGGGCCTATAACGACACTGCCGCCTAATGACTGAGTACTTCTTCTATGCTTCACATTAAAAAATAGGGTCATGTGGGTAAGAGTAATTACTTTCAGCTCATCAACACCTCATCTGCTCACTTTCAAAGAGCTCCAACCACCGCTAAAAAGATACTACTTCTGGGACAGCAGCGAAACGGCATCTGCATTTCCACTAGAATTTAATTTACTCCCTTCACGGTGGTTTACACTGGCCACTGTTCCATCACCACCCTCTGCGTACTCTATCTCTGCTTAAGTATTATGAAGGCTGTGTTTCTGAGTAGTCATCAGCTGTGTGCTGTAAAAGCAAAGAAAGGGGACGTCAATCATTCTGCTGCTACACACAGAAGTTGTAAATGAAGCCTCAGTCTCTTGGCTGCTGATCAGATCCTTTCAAGAGCAGAGAAACAGCACTAGTGCGGTCTCAGTGCTCTCACTAACACATAGACACTGCCTTTAGAGTGGAAAGTGCCCTTAATTATCGTTCTCGTAGCCTGTTTGATACACCAGCCACACCGACAGTGGAAAACCGTTGATGCCAGCTCCTCTGCGTGACTGTCCAAGGCACTAAAGCAGATGGGCCTTGATTTTGAGGATTATAACGAGCAAATAATGAGCGTCGTCTATTTCTCCAGCCAAGAACGTTACTTGGTTTTCAGTTTAGAGCCATTTGCCCAGATTTGGCAGAGGATCAGAATGAACGTGTGGATGCAGGAAACGGTCTTCGTGACCGTCTTAGAAAACTCTTCCTTCACTTACTTTGAGCTATAAACTCCTGGGTGCTGGTCAGCTCACTTCACGACCAGAGTTATAGTACCAGCACAGCCCCAGCTTTCTCTCTGATTCTGCCGTCCAGTCGAAGGAGCCTTAAATCATTGCCATCATCGCTTGTTTGGAAGAGAATCTGCCTGTTGAAAATAAGTACAGCTCTACGCTGTGGAAACCAACATCTCCTCACGTATCATAACAATCCACAGACCACTGAAATCTTCTTTATCTCCTTTAGCTCCGGGAAATGTTTTCCAGGAAAATAGGCAGGGTGCAAAGACACATTTTTCAGCCTTTCCATGTCCAATATTCACTGTGGAACTAAAAGGTTCTCATATCCTCTCATCTACCCTTCAGCTCTGAAGTCACTAACGCTCCTCTGTTCACAATAGACTATCATATTCCCCAGCCTGGGTATTTAAGCCCTAATTACAATGCTCCTGCTACTAATGAGCCAAAGCAAGGGTTTACTGTTACAGTGTTCAGTATCCAAGTACAATGAAGGTTTTTAAATTATTAATTAGTCCCTCTTCTAATGAGCTCGGTGACTACCAGTCTGAAACGGAGTACAAACGACACAAAAGGCAATCCAACCTGAGACACAAAAGTAGTCATTATTGTTTTCATTATCCTGGAACACCAGGAGGTAGAGATGGAAAGGACTGTGGATCAGTTACCACAGCTTTGACAAAGGGAGGGGCTTTTCACAGGCCAATATAATAATAATAATAATAATAATAATAATAAATTTATACATAACTTGTCATTACAGTAAATCTCTTTATGCATAAAAAACAGAAGTCAAGAAAGAAAAGCCAAGAAGGAAAAAGAGCAATTTCTCGTACTGGACGTTGATAGGCTTGAAGGAATTCAAGATCTCTTTTAAAGGTCTCGCATTGGCTCCTACTCTTTGACCAAACCAGATTTCAAATGATATACATTAATTTGAGTATTATATCATTTAATTGAAACTCCAAATGTCACAATCTTATGATCTGGGGTATTTATTGGAACTTCATCTGCTGTCGGCAGTCCACAACACAAGATGATACGATCTCCATTTTTCTACAGACAAAATGCCTGTTGCAACATGAGAACAGCTCTAACATTCACCTGCTCCCTCTCTTCACTGCTGTGATCTGCTGTGCGGTTTTATGGGAAATACACGATCCCCAAAGGGAAAGATTCAACCTCCCTTAGGTCTTTTTCACACAGTATAGCACTGCTGCACATGTATTCCATTCCATTACTACAAAAGGCGATTTGCTACAGAATCTCAAATGGAGCTCCAGAGTTGTCTGTGTTCTGCATGTTCTTCGAGCATAGCTTTAGGAAAACAGTCGAGAGAAAAAATGTACTCCACAATTTAACGCAGCTCTGAGTAAGCAATAACCTCCGACTGGATTTCATTTCTGTGCTGATCCTCAAGCCAGGGAGGACTGTCTACTGGGCTCTACAGGGGGCCAACGCCTTCTTGTGATTTTATGAAGAATTAATTTACGCTGATCGGCTGTCATCCCCAGCCGAAACATAAACTGACTCATTACATTGCTGCTAAAGAGGAAAATCTGTGATAGCAGGCTTATAGGCTGAGTCACCGTGCATATGTTGTGTGCCTAACTAGGCAGAAGGGTCACCTATTAAAATAGTCCTTCAACAACTCGTGTAAGGCTGGTTTCACTGATCAGCCAAGTGGTGAAAAGACATCACACAGATCTTTGGAGCTGCCTGCCAGCAGAAACCTGATTCACTGATCACCAAGCCAAACAACCCGGAGAAATGCACAGAGGAGCCACCCCGAGATTGAATCATACATGGAATTTTAAGTTATATTAAGAGACAGGGCTGACATTCTGAAGACAGCCGCCCCAGGACTCGGGACCAGAACACACAAAAGGCTCCAGCACATGACATTATGCACGAAGAATCGGCCTCCCTCAGTGTCAGGCTCGCTGAATTAATTTAGAGCTTTCGACAGTATCCTAGAAATCAAATCTGACAGCTAAGGAAAGGCCTACATTATTATAAAAGTCTTGGTCTATATGAGAACACTAACATAGCATTAATACTAGCATAGCATTATGTTATAACTAGGCCAATATCCAGTGAAGGGGAAAAGTATTTGGAGTGCGATTAAGGTATGATGTTTAATGTGACCTAGACCTAGATCTCAGGTCCAGAGTCAGGTCAGCAGAACCACAGATAATGACCACAGAGAATCAGGACCTCGGATTACGTCTCATCAGAAGGACGGCGCCTTTTTGTTTTACAGTACTGTGTCCCCGTCACTATACTGGGGCATTAGGACCCACACAGACCTCGGAGTGAGCGCCCCCTGCTGGCCCCCACTAACACCTCTTCCAGCAGCAGCCTTAGTTTTTCCCAGGAGGTCTCCTATCCAGGTACTGACGGGGCTCACACCTGCTGAGCTCCAGTGGGCCGCCAGATGTGAATTGTAGGGTGACATGGCTGCTGGCGATGATCAGCACCAGCTCGGACCAGGACCTGGAAGCCGGAGCCAGCAGCCTGGAGTTTCGGGCCCGAGCGATAAGGAAAGGGTACTTACGAACTTCCTCTTGAGCTTGCCCTTGGACCTCTGGGCCTTGCCCTCGGGGGCCGGGCTGCCGAACTCCACCAGGCCCAGGTGGTCGTCCACCGAGACGCTCTTGCGCAGGTAGGCGGCCCGCGAGCGGAAGTGAGAGAAGGGCGAGTGGGAGCGGGGGCGGGGCTCGCCCGGCGGCCGGCGGCCGGCTTCCTCGCCCTCGTCATCGTCGTCGTCGTCGTCGTCCTCCAGCCTCCAGGCCTCCCCTGTGAGAGAGGGGGGGGGAGGGGGGGAGGAAGAGATAAAGACACAGGGAGGCAGGGGAAGAGGAGAGATGCAGAGATAGAGAGTGAGAAGGGAGGAGAGAGAAGAAAAATGCCTGTCAACACATAAGGCTGTATTCTGTTCACATCAGCTTCACAGGACTGGTTTCTCTAATCCTTGAAAATAAAGATAAAAAACCCCCACAAAATAAAACACAGAAGATCCGCTATTTTCCCAGCCCTTTATTTCTGGAAACGCTCCTCAGGGGACAGTGCATTATTTCTGCTAAGTGACTCAAGTATTGATGTGTGTGATGTCAAAGTCAGAACCCAAATTGAATCAAAGAATTACATTCCTTAGCACCACTTAAAGCCCCAACGGATACAAGAGGGGGAAAACAAAAAGCTCGATTCTAATGAAAACTCATAGCAGAATAGACCAGATTTAGCTGGGAGGGAAGCTCTAGAATTAGTGACTTGAATTAGGAATGTGCCACGCATTTCTCTCAGGCTGAGATACACAACAGTGACACCAGTTGCTAGGCAACGCAAGGAGTTAAAGACTGGGTGTTTTCGATTTTAAATTTCTGGGCAATGGTGTAAAGGAAGAGGGTTAGAAAGGACAGAAGAGGCCCTTTTCCATACCGTGAAGGTAGCCTGCTGGCCAGCAGGTGAGAGAGGGGAAAAAGAGCTGAGATAATCCCAACAGTTAAGGGCAGACAAGCTGTCACTTGCTGTCACTGGTGTGCTGGTAAGATATTCCTGAAGCCTGCGTTTGTGTTTTCATAGAGCTCCTCCACATTCTTTTCTCACTCTGTTAAAGTGCATAGACAGGCCTCAGTAGAGCAATTCCCCTAATTATCTTAGAGCGCAATCTTAGTTACACTGCAAGATTAGAGACTTTCAAGTTTAAAAAAAAAAACTCTCATAATTTCCACTTACTTAAAGTAGAGCTCGCATGAGGCCAGCACAAACTTCATCATTTCCATCTCTTTCATTTTAAAATCTCGCTTTCAACTGAATACAAATGTTTTTTTTCCCCCCTTATCAAAGTCTTGTGCAGTTTAATAGCACAGAAAAACATCATCTTCAAGACCCAGATATGAATGTAATAAAATCCCACCCTGGTCAACAAAGTGAATCCTCTGAATCTGAATATTCTCAGCTTTGCACCACAAAACTCTCAACAGACAAACAGGATCTAAAGGAGCTACATTTCATAGCATGAGGATAAAAACAAGGCTTAAAACAGCAAACACTTGTTGAACTACAACAACTAAGAAAATCACTGAGATAAGAGCAAACTGACCAGGGGTTTTTGAGGTGCTATGAAGTTCTTTACAGTTCATGACATGAGGTCTGTCTGCCCCATACTGGAGAGTGAGCACTCCAGCAAAGAAAGCAATGTATTAAAACAAGGAATTAAATCGGAGAGCTCCAATAAGAAAAGACAAACATCTTCCTTTGGGGAAAAAAAATACAATTCAGAATTTAAATCAGATTAAAAGGTCACAAAGATTTGCATACATCAGCTCCCTTTGCCAGTCCTCTTTGTGTCGGTATTAAGACGCACATTTTCACATTACATAATATGGATACAGTCCTAAGCTGTGCACTACTGACGATGGCTGTAATTGGAGCTGTGTACTGATGATAACACTGTTTAAAGAATGAGGATATGCTGTGGTTAATCATGGCTCTAGGCAGATTGGGGTATTTTAAGGCACAGTACAACACCTCAGAAGATGCCAGGAAACCATTATGCTTTTATTCATTTTTTAATCATCATCTCAGAGCTTTTTTCTTTTTTTTCCCTCCTCTTGATTTCCAAGGAAGTGGTTTTGTAACACAATACACTGTAAATAGTCCTGTTCTGGCTTGGGAATGTTTCCCTACCGATTTTGTGCTTTGTGGTTGTCATGAAACAGTTACAAGTGACCTTTTCTGGAGAATTAGCCTCACACTTTAACATTGTAGAGGATCACTGTGGCCACTGTACAGAAGGGATTGAGCATGCAGGTGGTGCAGAATTCTATAGGTTTTATGCAAAAAAAAAAACATTTAATGGAAGTGAGAGTTAAAACAAATTGCATTCCCCCCTTTTAAACCATCTAAATTCAGAAAAAAAGAAGTCGATGCCCACAAACTGAAAGATAATGTAACTACTGGATTTATTCCATTCTGTTGTTTTCAGGTCGGCCACATCAATGACTTACAGTACCCAGACGTAGTTGTATAACCATTCTGTAGCTACAGACTGCTGCAACACTCCAAGTAAAGAAGTGCCTTTTATACAGAAAGAGCTGTGTTTGGAGCCCATGTCTAGAAACGACAACATATCATCAGCGGAGCTGATGTATGACTCAAATGCAAGAAAACTGTTTTACTGCCAAGATGTAGCCCATAAGGGATCATTTTCAATGTTCTTTTCTAAAGGACATGCTCAGAAAGCATGTAAATCGGTGTTATAAAACAGCAGCTATTACTGATCCTTTTTTTAAACTGACTCTGTGGGAATGCTGACTTTGTTATGTTTTAAAATCCATTATTAAGGTTTTTAATCCAGACACCTGACCATTTGCTTGCTGAATGAAGTCACCGTAAAGTACATTAAAGGCAAATCATTCTGTATTATCCAAGGTTATTTGGTTGTTTTTTTCAGCAGTGAAAAGCTACAATAAGGTACCAAAAAGGAGAAAAACTTTTTAAGCACCATGTCCCGGTCTCCTAATTTAGAATGCTGGCCTACCTCTCCTATCACCAAGTAATATCTAATCGCCCATATTTTGGAGGCAAATCTGTAAACATCCAACCTTTAAAAAAGACTCAATAGCTCCTTGATCAGATGATGAAAAGAATTGTTTAATGCTTTGTTTAATTCCCAAAATCCATGTTAATAAGGCCTCACATTCTAGTTTGCCCTATAGTTGCAGTCACACTGTAACAGGTTCAGGGTGGATGTCTTAAATTGGACGATCACAGCAACACTCCTGGGACTAGCTGTTGGATGCTTTTTAATGAGAGATCCCATTTAGCGCATCGGATAGCAAATCTCAAGGCCATTATCCACCTTCATTATGCTGAGTGTCTGTGCAACAGACATATAATATACTGTACTTGTGCCGAGTGGTGGCACTGTGGCCAAGGATCTGCGCCTGTGGCTGGAAGGTTGCCGGTTCAAATCCCACGGCCAGCAGAGGAATCCTACTCCATTGGGCCCCTGAACAAAGCCCTTAACTCCAGCTGCTCCAGGGGCGCCGTATAAATGGCTGACCCTGTGCTCTGACCTCAAGCTTCTCTCCCTGTCTGTGTGTCTCATCGAGAGCAAGCTGGGGTATGCGAAAAGATACATTCCTAATGCAAGATATCATATATGGCTAATTAAGTGATCTTATCTACTCTTATCATACTTTTGCGTCCTGCGTTTCAAAACTGCTGGGCTGCATGGCTTGAACGTTTTACGTCATGGTGCAAATCAAAGCAATAGACTTTTCTCAGTGTATCTCATGTCTTCAGAGTCTGACTGACGAAGGGGTTTTTTCAGATGAGCTTTGCAGGAAGTGGAGCGAGGTACCCTAAAAAATCGCCTGTGCTTCACTGCCATCAGCACTTCCAGCAAGTCATAACTGACTGATCAGCACAGCTACTGATTCCATTAATTTAACAAGTTATTAAAAGCCCAGCTAATAAGAAAGACTTTTTTTTAATCCCTTAACTTCGAGTTAATATTTGTCTTTTACCTTTTGATGTATTTCTTGCCTTTTTCTTTATCACTACATACAGTGTCCCTGGGTTTGTATATTATAATTATTATTTTAAAAAAAAAGGTGAAGGCAGGATACATCCTGGATGGGACACCAGTCAATCGCAGGGCAGAGACACACAAAAACAGACACGGAAACACACTCAAGAAGCCAGTAAGCCCACCAGCATGTCTTTGGACTGTAGGAGAAAACCAGAGCACTCCAAGCAAACCCATGTGAGCATGGGGGAACATACAAGCTCCACACAGACAGCACCCCAGGTCCATAACACAGGATCCCTCTGCTGCAAGACAGCAATGCTAACCACTGCCTGCCACCCAGTTGTGAACATGGAAACATTTGGCATCAAGAATTGCATTGCACCACTCTGAGAAAGAAGAATGGTTTGTGAAAAAGGAAATATTTGCTTGCTGACAGTTTTTGTAACCCAAGAGACCGTGCTTGGTCTCACACCTAGTTCTGAGATTTACAGATGGTTTGCTGAAGAAAACCAAAACCCTCACACCTTGGCTGTCAGGTTGGTTGCAGACAATGCAGATGCAGTGCTGTGGCCCATGATTCAGCTTGACAGCTCTCCAGCAGATGTCAGATTTGCCTGGGAATCCAGAAATGTGATGCTGGGCCAATAATTAGACTGACAAGACTCAGGAATGTGGAAGGAATGCTCTGTACGGCCGAGGATCCGGTTTTTCTATGTCCGAGGTCAGCCAACCATCTAGATGTTAAATTTCCTACGTGTGCAATGTACGTCACCCCAGACAGGATTGTGGGGAAGGGAGGTACAGTAATGTAGATTCTGATGGAAGAGAAGCCTTTAATAACTCTCCCATCTCCAGCTTTGAGCCCCCTCGGTTTCTCTCAGTCACGAAATGGGTAACTCCAGTTCTAACTTTCCCCTATACAGCATGTAAATGGAGCGATTGTTGTCTATCTTTACTGTCTTCGCAGTAGACAGGCTAGCTGGCTAGTAGCTGAAAATCCCCGTAGCTTTAAAGTAATGTTTTCCTACATAACTAGAAAACAGCCAACTCTGGATTTAAAACCAGATAAAGTGCAATGCAAATTACAACCACTGAAGCCCTGCAACATTGTAATGAACACCTACCAGATCAAGAAGCATATAGGATGGTCTGTATTTTAACTCATGTGAGTTGAAATTTAACTAAATAGCCACTGCATATTGCAACAAATAAGATCACTTTATTGGCCATTTACAATTTCTAGGAATTTGTCTTTTTGCATACCCCAGCTTGCTCTCATTGAGACACACAGACGGGGAGAGAAGCTTGGGGTCAGAGCGCAGGGTCAGCCATTTATACAGCGCCCCTGGAGCAGCTGGGGTTAAGGGCCTTGCTCAGGGGCCCAACGGAGTAGGATTCCTCAGCTGGCCGCGGGATACGAACCGGCAACCTTCCAGCCACAGGCGCAGATCCTTAGCCACAGAGCCACCGCAATAAGAACACATTGCAAATTTATGTCTTCCAGAAATAAATAAAATTAAGTCTATCAAAATCACAAGTCTCTAAATCATCTCTCTAAATCATCTAAATCATAATGCTCTAGTGGACTTAGCAGTCAGCTGTTGCAGGTATGAGTTAAGGTCGAATTGCACATCATAGCAGAATTTGTATTACAAAAACGAATCTCAGTGGCAATCAGAACGAAACGAAGATGACTCCATTCAAAGCAGCTCCCTGTCTAGAATTTAGACAGGCTGGCACTTTTCCAGACATTTGCTGCAAAAATCCCTGTCACTCGCAGCTCTGTGAATGGGCCGGATAACAGCAGGCTTTCTCTCCAAAGTGCTAAATTTGTTAAGAGTTTAAGGTAGTCTTACCCTGCAGTGGGAGGATTAGTCATAGCTCAGCGGTCATTCAAAAAATCGCCTTCTTCTCCCCTAACAAAATCCAAGTAGTCTGTATAAACTCGAGAGGCTGAGATATCCTTTCCTCAGCTGCTGCTTGGATCACAGCATCTAAATGCAGGAACCACCAGTCATAACATTGAGAAGGCTGCTGTTAAAAACACTGCTGTCAGCGAACGGGAGCTACGTCACAACTTCAAATACGGACACTTACCTCTCCTTTTCCTCAGTGGCGCCGATATACAGAAACGTACGGGAATTCATTGCATTTCGGAATTCAGTTTCTATTGAACTGAAAAATGGAAAAATATCCGAGCCACTGAGAGTACACCCAATTTCTTTTAGAGAAAGGCCTCTTTCTCTAATAACGTCGCCACCGGGATGATCCCATAAAAATTACTTCTCAAGTCAAATAACACATTATAACTGTAGCAAGAGATGGAGACTTCAGAAGGGAGTGACATCACCCAATTCAGTGATACTGATACCAGTAGCTTACGTGTTTATATACCCTGGTCTACAGGT